TCGCAAGCTGCGCTATGAACCCAGTCACCCGAGTTCCGTGTATGTGCCAGTGTGTATGTGTCTGTGTGTATCTGGCCATGTATATGTGTGTCTTTGCCTGGCTGTGTGTGTGTCTGGTGAAGTCGAAACGACGTGAATCTAAGCAATTTACAGGGTAGGTGAAGGCGATGGATACGGGAATAAAAACAGTTTTTTGTGTTACGTTTGTCGTCCTTCCCCCACACCTCTGATTAGCATGGTTGGCCACGTCGGGGGTGAAAGAAGTTCAGCATACACAGAAGGATGGATGCTGTCAGCGACGTAAGTGTGGGTTGAGACGACGCACATCGGTTAGCGGTGTTAATGATGAAGTGACGACGTCAAAGGGGGAGGCGTACATCGGGGCATTACCGTATTCTTATATTTACTATTGTGATGCATTCGTTTTAGGTTACTCAAGCGAGGCAGACAGACAGATGTTATTGTTGGCTCTTTGTAATCACGCCAATGTGTAGTTATTTAGTTGTTTTACCGCTGCGCGTGCGGCGCGAAATGTCGTGCGGCTCCATGAGATCGCTGCGAGGGTTCGCCCGCTCGCTGCTCCCCGCCCTGGGACCCCGCGGCGCGCCGCCTTCACGCTTAGGAGCCGTCCATAAATGACGTCACGCGATTCCCCCCCCCCCCCCCCCGGTCGTCACACGGCGTCACAAAAAGTCAGATCCCCCCCTCCAATATGACGTCACAAAGCTCTGCCCCCCCCCCCCCCCCATAAAAAATAAAACATGCTTCAAATCTTGATTTAGAGCTTTCGTGACTGCAGGGATTCGTATTCTTGGTTCTTTCAGTAAAGTCACGTAGAAGGGAAACAATAAAATAATAAAAATATTTTTTTCCCTTCTACGTGACTTTACCGAAAGAACCAAGAATATGCTTCAAATCGCTTTAAACGATTGCCAATGTAGTGCGTATTTAATTTGGCGCTGCACTCTGATGTTGTAGGAGAAAACATTTATTAAAACGTCTATTTAATTAACGTGTTGTCTATATTTATTCAAAGTTGAGCATTTTGATGCGACGTCACATTTCTCAACCCGCCCCCCACCCCCCCCCACCCCCCCTAGATGCGTGGCGTCATTTATGGACGGCCCCTTAACCAGCACGACGCACTCGCGCCGTTTTGCCGAGTCGGGGTTCGCATGCGCAAAAGATAGCGGCTATTTATTTTGCTTTCCGTCGCCCGCGTTGCTCGCCTCGGCCGCGCGTTTTGCTCGGCGCCGGGCAAACGAAGAGGGATTGTCAGCAGCGAAAAAGCGACAGCTGCGCGGGAATAATTCCTGGCGAAAATATTATCCTGCGTTGACGAGGCGTTTGGGCAATTAAGGCATACTTTAATGAGGACAACTTTTGAAATGCAACGAACGGCGGAAGCAAATTGCGCCGGAAAAAATCGGTGAGCGAGCTTTTCCCTTTCCACGATCCCTCCGCTGAAGATCGCTTCCTGCCTCTGTGCCGTGGGCAGCGCCTGCGGAGATTCACCACCACCCCCCCCCCCCCCTCCCCCCCCCCCCCCGAGATTAAATTAAAGACAAAAGTGCAGCCCTGCAATGGCCTGCTCATGCCACTGCTTATGGGTGGTCATCTACTCGAGGGAGCTCTAGAGAGATTTTCTTCCACACTGGCACGACCTCTTTGAAAATGTGGGAGTTACCCACACTTTACCCCACCGCATGCGACCAGCCAGTCGATGAACTGTATTGATTTATGCTGCTGGATTGCAATTCCAGTGCGCTGAAAATCGTTACGTAGCGCCAGCATCTCCCGAAATTCGATATTTTTTCAATTTGCGGTTCAATTCAAGAATTGTTTCTCTTTTTAACACTGAATGTGCTTGAATGTAGCAGCCACTAGAGTGGTTTGTGAGTGGCACGGGATCCAATTAAATACAATGTAACATGTACTGCCAACATATAAAACACATTGATTCTCGCACACATGATTCCATGCGGGTGTCGGGTTTGTGAATCAATATTAATCGATCAATCACAGGATCATCGCACCTATAACACCCGTGCTTAACGTAGAACACCAATCGAGACGACGTTTGATTCTCCCCCCTCCAGTGTTGTATTCCCATTGAACCCCACATCGAGATGCTTTGGACATTTCTGCTCAGCCACAGCGTAAGGTAGCCCATTGAACCCCACATCGAGATGCTTTGGACATTTCTGCTCAGCCACAGCGTAAGGTAGCCGCGGATTTAATTCTATTACACCGGATCGTTTTAAGGGTCGCGGGTGCGCTGTGTGTGTGTGTGCGCGCCGGTGCGCGTATGAAGACGGAGATTAACACAATGAAGTTTTCCCATTAATTGAGTTTCACGGTAGATGGTGTACGCACGCACGCACGAGCTCCCGCAACACGCACGAGGAACGGTGCAGCGATTTATAAGCGAGCGGCTCGTTGAGGGATGCCGCTCACACCCTCTGTCCGGATCGACTCGCCTGCGGGCGGTGCGCAGCGCCCGCCGCGTGACCGTGGCGCGCGTTCGAATTTTCGGGGTTGGCGGTTTGGGAAACAATTTGAGTTAATCATACCTGCAAACCCCTTATCAGTGCGCTACCTTATTACAGAGAAATTCAGACCTTATTGGTCACCCCGTGCCCCTCATAAATCTCAACGTTCGTGCTGCAAAGTCCCATCACGAGGGAGAAATACAAACAAAAGAGTCAAAACATTGTTTTTTTTGCCCTTATTGAAACGGCTGTACGCCGTATGGACCTGAAAACTCAATTTCCCTGCACAAGAATACGGGGCAAACCGTTTGGGTTGACAGCCATGATAATTACCTTTTATTTTAGCGTTGGGCGACGTCGGCGATAACATTGGGCAACACCGAGGTTTAATCAGCGGAGGTGACCGGGGCAATTAAAACAACCGTGTGTATGCACTTCGTTGATGGATGCGGCTTCAGACAAAAACACGGGGGTTTAATGCAGTACAATTTGCTTTTAATAAAGCGTAAAACATACTAAGTGATGATTACGTAATCCACGCTCTCATGTAGATTAGTTAATTTGTGCGACATGACTTGGAACATGAAGCAGTTGGTCTTCCTCTGAAGTTATGCACGTGACTGCGTGGAGGAGGGTGCATGTGTGTGTATGCAAATGTGTGCCTGTGCATGCTTATGTCTAACCGTGCCTTTGCTTTTTGTACAATTGAGCTGTGGTATGGTAGTGGCCAGTGCACTGCGCTACGAACCCGGCGACTTGAATTCGATTGCCGACCACGGCCACCATCGTTGGCGAACGACATCCGAATTGGTCCAGGACATGCCCTAGGTTGACTCAACCATTTATGGGTATGTGGAGCAATGTGTAAACTGCAACCTTACTGGTGGAATGGTGCTCGCTGTCTACACCACTCCCTTGTGTGCCGCCAGCCTTAAATACTCGCTCACGAACGGACACCGCTTGCCCCAACGGTCTGTGTGGCTGTATTACAGGATGATCGCGCGTCAATTATAATCGATTCCACATTCTCACGATACGCGCATTAAATCGTCTGTGCAATATTTTCTTCTTGCAATTTATATACAAATGTGGCACTGTTACGTTCAGAATGGCGTTACATTCAGGGCAATAAAACGAGTCGTAATCCATCCACCGATGCTTCACCAAGCAGTAACCATCTCTCACAGTCCCATGGTTTTGCGATGCAACATCTAGTTCCCGCACGAGAGCTCTAATTTCATCGCTCCATCTCCGTGGTGGCCGTAAGGCAATGAAACTTAACGAGAATGAACCAGTTTGCGGTTGCCTCAGAGGCCTGCTGCTGCCAATAAATAATATGGCCACAGTTGTGACTCTTTTGTGAGTTGGTGATAGGTTGGTGATGACACGTGACATGCGCGGCATGATAGGAGAACCTATCCAGTTTTCAGGATGGTGCCTCTTTCTGCCTATAAATCACCTTTGGCACGCATGATTAACTTCATATTACATCGATTGTGAGAGATGGCGGTGGCTTGGAGAGGCCTTCATCCAGCGGTGAATTGACCGTGTCCAATAATGATGACGATTACTCTTAAGTTCTGCACGTCCGTGCAGTGGGATACATGTCTCTGCGTGGGCACGTCCTGGTCGTGTGGAGTATTGGTGTCTATGTGCGTGTGTGCAGTATTTATCTTGGGGGGGCAGCGGCGTGCTGGATCGCCCGCTGCGCTCACGTCCTCGTGGTTTAATTCGGTTCCCGAACACGCCACGTCGGTGGCGGTCGCCCTTCGTCTCAGCGGTGAGGCTCGCTGACGGCGAGTTGGCCTGGCAGGCGACGATCGCGTACGCGTCCAGGTCGATTCCTGTAACGCGTGCGCGGTGCTGCCCTCTAGTCGGTCCACTGCTGGATGAGGGCCTCCCTACGCCGTGCGGGTCGTGGGGGTTGCGTGTCCGCTTGGCCACGGCTGGTCAGTGCGTGGTGGTGAAAGCGGTGAGCGAAGACGTGGGAGCATAGAAGCACGGTCCAACAAAGTATTTGGCTGTACTTCCCCCTCGTGGCATAGTAGCCCCGCAGCAGCCTATGACCCCTGTTATGCATGGTGATCTCCTAATTTAAGCGTTATCCAAAGCTACACACGACGGTTTTACATTTGTGCAAATGCAGAAAGATGTTTTATAAGAAAACTATATTATTCTGTATTTACGGATATAAATAACACCCACCTTGGTTATTTTAAAAGAATGTCGATAAAATGCGTGGTTATATTTTTCATCGGGCGAACAGGAACATTGGCTTGCCTGGATCTCTGTTAGGTACAAATGATGAGTTCCTTGGCTTGTCCCATCCAGACTAAGATAGAGAGGCGTTGGGCCTTCCCACCCTGTCCCGTATTAACGATAAAAGACAAGAACCTTGACTGCAATGGTTTTGTGATGTGCGATTTTGTCGCAAAACAACATCAGCATCTTTTTTTACGGTGTGTAGCTCAACACAACGTGGCGATCGCTGTCCTTGTCCGTGCGCAGACCAACATCCCCTTCCTGCAGAATGTCCTCAACAACTCCCAGTTCGTGTACGGCACCGTGGACACGCAGTTCATCGACGAGAACCCGGAGCTCTTCAACCTCAAGCCCGGCCAGAACCGTCCTCAGAAAGCTGCTCTACTACCTGGGTAGGCCTCGGGCGTGCGCACGGTGGCACACAGCCTTGGTTTCTGTCACGGGCGGCCGAAACCCAGATCCGAACCCCAGGATCTGAGCGGAGCTTGTTCAGCGCTCTCACATCGCCTTAGATCGTCTGGCTACTTCGCTTTCGGAAGAAAAAAAAAAGACTTTTAACTGCGCGAACAAATCTTTATTAAATTGGGCAGAGAGTGCGGTGGGCATGGGCAGGACGTGTCGCTCGATGTTGCAAAGATGTGATCGAGACTAACGATGGAGTGTGGCAGCCAAGGAAGGGAACGCGCCCGAGAGGACGTCCGCCGTGGACACGGAGCGATGCGAGGGGCTCGTGTGCGCAATTTCCATTGGGTTGTGCATGGTAGTACTGTGGTGAATGCAGGGGCTTGGAGAGGCCTTCATCCAGCAGTGGATGGAACATTGCGAGCGAAGCTGCTGCAGTTTTTGTCACCTTGGCTGATGATGATGATAATGATCACGATTACTATGTTGATGTCTGGTCAAAGAATAAGAATGTTATTTGTAAAGGGTAGGCACCGCAGATATATTGTTAGGCGCACACCGAGACTCCCCGCTGTGTGAGTGCTGTGGGCCTGTGGGGTCCAATCCGGGCTCAATTTGTCGATGACAGCCGCGACGTGCCTTGCCTCAAGATACGGGGCGCTCTAGCGCCACGCTCCATCACCGCTAACAGCAGCTCGGTAACTTTTGAGAAGTTGCCGCTCGCGCAAATAAAGCAGTGGAAGAACAGCACGATTAATGACGACGTCGGTTGCTTTTCCATTTCGGTTTTTGGTTGGAGATGTCGGAACAATCGTACGTTGTGCCGCCCCCCCCCCCCCCCCCCCCCCGGGTCACGTGATGGTGAATGGAGCCATGACCCCGCTTCCAGTCAAGGCCAAGGTCACCGACGTCGATCCCGTGGTGCCGGACGTCCCTCTTGGTAATGGATTCGCTTCCACAATCGATCCGCTGTTCGCAGCCGGGCGAGCTAGATGGACCGACTGGGCCCCCTCTCGTTTGTGACTCTTCTTATGTTCTTATTTACGTTGTATAATGACGCGATCTGTGCATGCCATCAGCATCGTCATCGTACTCATTCAGTATTTCAATAATTTAACTCACCACCCGCCTGTGACCTTTGGTGATGTCTAGGGGTCACTTTTTTTTTTAAAGAATCGTTTTTGTTGTTGTTTTGGATCTCATTCACAGCAGCAGGACGTTAACTTTCTCGCCTGGTATACAGGAGGTCGTGGGTTCGAACCCGACCCTGACGCCTGCTGTATATTTGGAGTTTGCATGTTTTCCCCGTGGCCGCGTGAATATTTTTTCGGGTCCTCCGGTTTTCCTTCCACATTTAGAAACTCGCGTTTAGAGTATTTGGCTGCTGTTCATGAGCCACTTCGTTGAGCTATTGTTTGTGGCCCGGTTACTTCTGAAAGAGAGCTATATTGCTCGGTGTGCCTTGCCTGGTAAAATAAAAAGAGTTTAGTTTTGTTCCATTAGTTTAATGTACGGTGTTTATATGATTTGCACGCATTGTAAATTATCCACGCTTCCATGCACGATCCTGCGCACGATTGTTAGCAATTAATCAACTCGTCGTTACTGTACCTGCCTTTTACTTCGTATCATATTGATTTATAAGATGCATTTTTTAAAAGCACAATTAGCTAAACTTATCAAAACTGTGAAATTTCAATTAATCACGATTACATTTGTTTGCCTCATTTTAAGTGATGCCATCTACGCGCGCTTCCCACACGGGGACCCGGCGTGGCATCTGCCACCTGGCTAGCGGCGTAAATAGCGGCGCTCGTGCCAACGTGCGAGAGTGAAACTTGTCACGGAGGGATCCAATCGGAGCCGAGCGCTCATTCGAGCTTTAATTGACAATAGCGATGATCCTCAAACCTTGGCTATCGCCGTTAATTCCATATTAATTCCCAGAGTGCGTAGTGAATATCTCACCAGGTTAGAAGTGTCTTTTATCCTGCATGAGGCCACGTTTACACGCGGCATGATCGGGCGAATGCTGCGGCGTGACGGCTCAAGAGGAGATTTAACACGTGGGAAGTTTCGATTCAAAGCTTTCGTGACTGCAGGGATTCATGTTCTTGGTTCTTTCGGTAAAGTCACGTAGAAGGGAAACAATAAAATGATACAAAATATATTTCATTGTTTCCCTTCTACGTGACTTTACCGAAAGAACCAAGAATACACATGGGAAGTTGATGGCTTTGCGGCGCAGTGGTGGCGGCGGAGCCGCGTCTAAAATTATTACAGTTTCTATTTTTTAATGGGCTGGAGGCGCGGGTGTTGATGATTAAACCGTGGAATGCGGGGCCATTAACTCTTCCTTATGGACTTTGCAGAAACGTCCGCTAGTTACCTATAATTCAGAAACGTCCGCTAATTACCTATAATTCATCTTGGGGTAGCGCAATGCTGATTGAAGTTGATCTTCAAACCGAGAAAGTTTATTGCCCAGTAATTCGAGTGGATCTTAATCAGCGGAGGGCTTCATCCAACCACACACGATGGGTGGCTGGACCTGGACAGCGATCATGGGGCTTCTGCAACCAAATGAAAATGTATTCTTGTTTTTAATTGAACTCCGTCATTCACCTCGGTTGTTCGCGACGAACAAAGAGAAGCGATCGCACTTTTGTAAATCTTTAAAACCGCTCAAATATGAGCGGCTCTGGACCTACAGGGTAAGGATCGTAGCATTTCGCCACGGATGTAATTGAAGCGAACATAATGCAACGTTGAGGTGATAAGCGTGCGACTGTGCCACCGCAGGCCTGTGGAGGCACAAACCCAGCTGACCACGGAGAGCGCACAGCAAACCCCAGCACAGCGACCCCGCGTTGTTATGTGAAGTTGTAGATAATGAGCCGCTCGTCTGTGCTCGTCGGCTGGCTGCGACCTGCAAGCGAGTCCTGCAGCCATGCGCCTCCCCTTGCGGGATTATTAATTATTCACCGATCGGCGTCGTGATTCAATTCAAGAAACGGTTGTTTTATTTATACTGTGATGCATTGCAGCATGACAAAGTGGCTCTAAGGGGGCTCGCGCGAACTGACCTGCGTACAACGTATACGATCGATTCCCACGCACGATTCGACGTGTATCCTGAGCGTAGGAATCACTTTCCGTTGCTCGGTCGATGCATCGTCACACCCCTGATGCATGGCCATGCACGACGGATCGCCCTACGACTCGCGTGCGTAGGCAGGTTCATGTTCGTGGATGAGTCGACTGTGTTCCCTCCCTATGCACAGGGGAGTTCATACATCCATGCAGGGCTTAATTTCTCGCCAGATAATTACCGACTCACTGGGAGACTGGAGTACGTGGAATGTGGCGAGTAGGCATGGCCATAGAGAGAGGCATTGTGGATGTGGTGTGCTGGGTGCATAATTATATTCTGGGTCGCTGATCCACACAGACCTGGCTGAAAGCTTGCGTCTTGTTCACTTGGCACTCACCTGCCTGCAGCTCAGCTGATTGAACGCTCTGGTCGTTGAACACACCCCAGGTGAGTCGATGGCACGTACCGCTTTGCTCCCGTCGGGATTCCGGGACGTGCTGGTGACACAGGGTCCCGAGGCCTTCACCATGGCAGTGTGGAAGAACCGCGGCCTGCTGCTCACGGACACCCCGTTTCGCGACGTGCACCAGCCGCTGCTGGCGACACGCGTGCGCACGCACGCACGCCCTCAAGGCCATCTCTCCGTTCGTCGCTCACTCCTTCGGCAACCTGTACAGCATCGAGAACTGGGGAGGTGAGTGGCGTCCAGCTAAACCACCCTCCAACGCCGCTTCTGCCCACCTCGCGGGGTTGCGCGTATAACCCTGGAGGTGATGTCGGTAGCGTTGAATATGGCTCGGCAGTCTGGAGCGGCTCGCGATTGGAAGCTTGTAAATTCAAATCTTGGTTAGAGGCTCACTCGGACGATCATCCCTTCTTCCTGGAGTTGATAAAAAAAAACTAAGCTTTGGGAAATCAGCTTTTTTTTTTTTACAACAAACTCAACCCTGTTATTATGCCAGGTAAGGCGGCCCCACTGAGCTGTACAGCTCTGTTTTAGACACGACCTGGCCACAATGAATAACTCAACGAAGTGGATTTAAATTTCGATTTAAAGCTTTCGTGACTGCAAGGATTCATCTTCTTTGGTTCTTTCGGTAAAGTCACGTAGAATGAGAATAAAATAATAAATTGATAAAATAAAATAACACAATAATATTCTCACGACGTTTCGGCCACAACACAAGCGGCCTTCATCAGGTGAAGGGACGAGACTGTCTGGAGGACAGCGCTGGAGTGAAAAAGCCACTCTCAGATCACGAACTTTAAGCTGTGTGAGAAGAAACAAAGCGCCTTGACAAAGGAATTAGCATAGAATTTAGCATTGAAATAGCTAAGTTAAAGCATACACATCCGCAGAGGCACCCCTTGACAAAGGAATTAGCATAGAATTTAGCATTGAAATAGCTGAGTGATTAGCTTGTAACTGGTCACAGAAATAGCTATGTTAAAGTCAGAGCATATACATTCACAGAGGCACCTAGTACAAATCAAACAGGAGAATTTAGCATTGAAATAACTAGGCGAATTTAGCATTGAAATAACTGAGTGATTAGCTTGTGACTGGTCACAGAAATGGCTATGTTGAAGTCAAGGCCTACACATCTGAGCTATTCACAGTAACTGGGTATACACTACAATATATAATGAATACTATATAGTGAACCAATAAAAAACTAAAATATAGATTACCTCAATGTTATCAATAAACTCTATATATTCTCCAATCAGCTAAGCTACCAACAATAAGTCGTTATATATCACAATGCTATATGGCGAAAAAGAAAAAAAATGGGTGGATTCTTTCCCTCAACTTTAGCAACACGGATAGCTACGGGCCCCGTTCAGATGGACGAGTTCATCCATGGTCGGAACAGAGGAGGGGGAGAGAGACAGCTGCGAGGCGCTGTTATACTCCATGTTGTAAACCATACCATTAATCGTGGTGTGAGAGGTATTAAGAGTCAATGCCAGCGAAAGAGCTGCGGTCTGAAGCTCATCGTAAAATACAATTAATTAAGAACGGAAATGGTTTAAAACATCTTTCCAATGGTTACTAAGCCAGAATCCATCTTCCCGGTTGAAATTGTCTCTGTGCTTGTATATGTGAATGGCCTCATGAACGAATCTCTCATGGTAGCCGGTTGGTTTGCATTGTTAGTGTTTTACTTTTTGATTTAAAGCTTTCGTGACTGCAGGGATTCATATTCTTGGTTCTTTCGGTAACGTCACGTAGAAGGAAAACAATAAAATAATAAAAATATAAAACAATAATATTCTCGCGACGTTTCGACTGCAACACAAGCAATCATCATGAGGTGTGAAAACCACAGCAAGAATTTTATTCTTTTATTGTTTCCCTTCTACGTGATTTTACCGAAAGCACCAATAATGTGTTTAACGTTCGATACAACTGCTTAATTTTCTAAATAATTACACGTTTCTGTATTAAAAAAAAATATTCCCGTATTCATAGCATAATCCACAGATAAAGCCCTTTGCTTCCGTTTAAAATAATTAAAACGTCCTACGACGTTTATAAGGCTTAATTGACGCTGTTCGCTTTGGGAAATGCCGTTTGAGTTAAGATGAAAAAAAAATCTCAATTACCGTCGAGTTTTTGCACCTCGGAGATTCCGTTACAACGGCCTTTGAAAGGCACGAGACTTGAGAAAACTCGACTCGGAGCACGACCCGGCGCTCTACCCCAACTAAGCCTGCACCCGCAGCACCGCGGATCTCGCAAAACAGCACGCGTGTGCGTGGATAAATTGAGGCTTAGCGCCGCGGGATTCCGAATTACTTAGCGGCAGGCCCGGTGGGCTGAGTCTGTAATCGGAATGCCTTACCTCCCCGCCCGTGGACCATCGCTGTGGTCATGACGACGTGTTGGTGAGCGCCGTCAAACGCTTTTGTAGAAGCCGCGCTCAGAAGCGACGCGGACACACACGTGTCGAGCGTCGCCGGAAAGAAATGACACGCGGAGGGGTTCACTTCTCCTGGCGTTGCGCGTGTTGGGGTTTGTGTTTAGGGGCGCGTGTGGCACACGGCGCCTCCGTGACACAGTCGCCGGGGATCGCGCTCGATCTCGTCGGATCTGGGAAGCTAAGCAGGGCGAAGCCCAGATCGTGCTTGGGTGGGCGACCGCCACGCATGTGCAGGTGTTACAGGCCGCGAGTCTACATGGCGGGCCGCAGGGGCCACGCGGCGAGATCCATCATTGTACCCTACTTCTGCGCACGCACGTCTATGCACCCCGAGTTCCCCAACCTGCCCGGTGTGGTGAAGTATGGTCAAATAACCACGACCGTCCACACGGCGTTTGAGTCGCCACTCGCCGCTGTGGTTTTTTAATCTAACAATAGGTTGCCAGATTCCATCGGAATGTATATCTATATTCGTTATATTTTTCCCAGTAATAACAAAATTGTGCTATGTTATGAGACTAAGAATACATTCCATTCTGTCACACAGCCGTTCCACCCTTCATCTTATAAAACAGCCCACGGAAGCGGACATCTCAGAGCTAAATTTGAGATTCCTTCAAGTGACTCCAGTTCATGCAGCAGGGGGCAGCAGTTTCTCGCCGGCTCTATCCCTGAGGGTCATTCTCATTGCTTGACAGCCAAACAGGTATCTGTAATTCCACAAGCTCATATTTTGCCAAGCTAAGTCCAGAACCAAATTGAATGTGTCATTGGAGACCATCAGCTTGATAACACCTTTGAGAACCTGGTTTAATCCCAGGTAACTTAAACCTGGATTCCAACCCAGACTCTCAGCGGTGCCACCTCAGCACTCTGACCTGTGAGCCACCCCGGCTGCCACTATCGATGAGTAATTTTAAGAGCAACAAAAAACGATGCTCTCTTCAGTGTGGCCGCGAGTGGGGGCTGTCGCTTCCTGTCAGGGACCACCACCATCTACATTCGCCCTGGTCGGCCTCCCACAGCGATGGAGATAATCTCATTCCGTGTGACACAGTTTACTGACCGAGCGCTGCCTTTTCATTGCCATCTTTCCGCTTTCATTTTCGAGCTGTCACACGCGGCTCGCTGCCAGCGGGGTGGAACGAGAGCGGCTCGTGGTTGGCAGCGATGCCCGGCTGGGGCGTCGTCCCCCAAATTCACGCACGCGAGTTTGATTGCCACCACGAAAAAACGGCGAGCGCCGGTGGAGGGCGGGCGTTCGACTCATTCCCGCTCTCGCGCGACGGTGCCGGAGTCGCGTGATTGCTCGTGGACAGAGGGCACCTTGGGGATGCGGGGTCAGAGAGGTCAAGTTCGTCGCGGCCAAAGCCTTGAGGGCACTACACATCGCTGTCACATCCTCCCTTCTGCCAGAGCCCACGGTCGTTAAGTCTATCCCAGAGATTTAAGGATCACTCTTTAATCCCCATGTCTGGCTTGTCCTCTTGTGACATGGGTGACACCTCTTTTAAGGACCACTCTGACAGTCTCGTCACCTCCACCGTCCGACTTTAGATCTTCTCCTTCATCGCCAACCACTGGGTGCCACTCCAATAGCTGTCGCGTTTACCTGTCTTCCTCCACCCTGCACGTGCGTCCCACCCATCCATCACAACTTCCTCCCTCATCAAACCTAACCCGTCGATGAAATTCCTAGCATCCTGCACGTGCAACCTGTTTTCAGAGGCCAGAACTTTAGTTTGAAGTTGCTTTGCTAAAGTCTAACTCTGTGACGCGTACATTTCCACGGACATTAGACCTGCCTCAAACACCCGACCGCTCTACTCCTCCAATGCGGTTCATGTGGTCCATTGAAGACCCGCCCTGCTAACTCGGCGTGTCAAGCCGGTGAACGAGAGAATGGATGGGGTTATTTTTCTAGGCATCGCGAAAGAAGCGTGATACACCGAGAGGATGTGAGTTACTCGGGACTGTTTGAGAAACGAACAAAAAGCAGCCTGCGTCTCAACACCGTGCTGCGCGCAATGGTTGGTTCTCATCTGGGACGAGGTCTTGATGGTCGTCGTGGTTGTCACCACCGGCGTCAGCGTCATGGCCATCGTCGTCGTCGTCGTCGCCACCATCGTCGTTGTTGTGGCTGTTGTCGTTGCGGTCGTCATCATCGTGGTGGCCGTCGTCGTTGCTGCTATGGGCGTTGTCATCGCCATTGTCATCGCCATTGTCGTCGTCACAAAGCAGAACGAGTGACCGTGCAACCCTTTTCACTGTGGTGCCCTCAAGACCTCGATGAGAGTTGGGGTGCGAGCTGGCGTACGGACCGCTTCTCCCTAAGCACAAATTGAGCGTTTGTTTCTCTCCATTGATGGAGCAGCTCCGGAGCAGCTGTGCACATTCAACTTCACTTTCAATTAATTTAGCTCATGCTTAGCGACGGGGCAGAGGAGGGCACTCGTTTTTGTTTGTTGTTTTTGCCGTGTGGCCATTAGTCGGCGCAATTTTAACCCAGCGCCGTTGCCTCTGAAGAGTGTCTTGGGTCGGAGCGCGTCTGTAAAGTTCCCGCCGTCATCCTCGAGCGTCCTCGTTGGTAGGCGCAGGCGTTCGTGCGAAGCCCGCCGGCCTCCCGGTGGGCCGCACCGAGGTTGCGGCAGGGCCATTAGCGACGGCAGCCGTAGCAGGCCCGAGCGCCGCGGTGGTGAGATGTTAACTACCTCGCCTGGTGTGCAGGAGGTCGTGAGTTCGATCCCGACGCCGACGCCTGCTGTAT